GTATGGATTGTGTAAAGAGTTGTATGAGCCCCTAATAAAATGATTAAAAATAAATAAAAAATAAAATATAGAACATAAGTTTTATAAAGACTGCCTCCTGATATTGGGTACCAAAGGCACAAAGAAAGAATAAAGGACCTTGGAGTGTATTCTCAACATCTCTTTTATAGGCTATATATACAGATATCACATATATATATATCTTGTTTTGCCATGTGAGAATGCATCTGCATGGGTGCTTCTAGATCAAAAATGTATCCCAGTATTTTCTTAAAGGAGCAATTCAATCGACTCAGTGAAAAATAGCTCAGAAATCCCTTTCATGGGCCCAAGCATGGTTGTCCACATAATACTTACTTTCACTTCTCTTAAATTCATTTTTAAATGACCATTGACTTACCCCAAGGGCTTGTAGCTCTCCCCTTGTGACATTTTGTGATTCATCAATGGGGTAATAGAGAGAATTACTTGACCTTCCTGGTTCCATCTCACTGCCTGGGGCACCGGAGCCTGTTCGCCTCTCTGTATTACCAGCTTCTTGGGAGGCCATTTAGGTGAGTTGATGGCTGCAGTGGGGAAGAAATCAAAACGCTTGATGGTTTCCCTTTCGCTACAAGCTAATGATACCTTTTAGGATGTATTAGAAAGGTTACATTCTGCCCAAAGTTTTCTGTTTTTGGTTTTTCTAACCTATGCTGATACATTAGTCTCTTCCGCTATTCCAATCATTCCTGGGCTTATGAACTGATGGTTTCTCTGAGCAACGATCTGTCTGACAAAGATGGCTTGAGCCACAGGTTCACAATAACAAGTATGCTTTATTGAGGACATACTACAGCCACTAGCTAGCTGCTCTGCACATATTAATGTATATAATACACCCCCAAACTTGGCTGTAATATTATTCTTTTCATATGACACGTGCTAAGATAGAGGCATAAAGAGGTTGAGCAATTTGTCCAAATTCATATACCTTTTAAGTGGGTTCAGATACTACTAGAAACATCCTACTTCAAGATTTCCTTTCTCCAAAAAACAAAAAAAACTTATCATTATATAGAATTCTATGAAAACTTCCTTTCTGGGTAGCAACATAGTATAGAGGAAAGTATTGAAGCACTGTAGAACTCAACGTGCTTAGTTTAAGCCTAGATCTGGTTTCTTAAAAATCATATGACCTAGTAGTGGCAACCTAATTTTCATATCTGTAACTGAGGATAATTTTAAATTCATATAACATCTTAAGGGTTAAATTTGATTATGCATAAGATCCTTGGCCTTATAATCAGTTAGTTATTGTGGCAGTTACCTAATCTGTCCATTTGAGGGAAGGGTAGGGTCTAGCCTGTCAATCAGGTCATAACCAATGATGTTTCTGTGTGGACATGACCTTCTCCCGAGGATTCTGGGAACTCCCGTCTTCCTCCCTGGAGGTGGGACACACATTCTCTCTGCTTCACGTTCTGGGGATGAGCCACATTGAGCCACACTGATGGCAGCCAGAGACTGGGAGATACGCCCACTGTCATTGTATCTACAGGGCTTTTCCACCCGCTGGCCTATAATCTTCCTGCTTTCGGTATCATGGCAAGTGCTGCATGAGTCTGTGGAAGAATGCATGGACTAGGATCAAACATATGGGCTAATATTGGACTTACAGGCTAATGTTGAACAGTGGACTTGATCTGGACTGAGCCGGAATGTTTTCTTTATATAAAATTACTCTCAGCTATAAAACTCTGTCTTAGACACATATGAGTGTGTCTGGATTTGTTTCTATAGTTAATCCAGACTAACACCGTTATCACTGATTTTTAGACTCTGCTTATGTGTAAAAGGGACTTTAAGTATTTGTGAGAGTATCCAAACAACCACCTCCATAACCGCGGCTAACGATCATTTTTTACCCTGGAGTGATGTAACTTCCTGATGCATCATGTGTGTAGGACAAAAGTATAAAAGCTTATATGCCTTTACAGCTCACAAAGTTGTAACCAGAACCTTAAAACTACTAGATGCTTTAGAATTTTGCCAGATTCTTGACTTTGGGGTCAGAATAAGGATTTTAATTTTTGCTTTTTAAAAAATTAGAATTATATAACAGATCCATATTTCTAATAAGTCTACTATTTTTTATCCCATTAAATATATGCCATCTCTTCTCATATGTTTAGCTTTCTAACTCTCTCACAGAGGGCATTTATCAAGCTTATTTAAGTATAGTAGTCATTAAGGCAATAGTTAACAGGAGGTGTGGATCGACACATATTCCAGTTTAATGACCATAAGAGTTACTATTTAATCCCTCATAAGTATTTCCTAGCCCTGGTGGCATCGTGGTTCTGTGTTGGGCTGCTAACTATAAGATGAGCAGTTCAAAACCACTACCCACTCCAAAAGAGAAAAATGAGATGTTCTGCATCAGTAAAGGGGTACAGTCCTATCAGTTAAATTATGGGGAACAAAAGGAGAGTTACAGTCTTGGAAATGCACATGGGCAGTGCTACCCTGTCGTGCAGGGCTGCTCAAAGTTGGAATTAACTTGATGGCAGGGGGTGGGGGTGGGGGGTTTTGGTTCATGAGTTTCCTGGCAATATGGGTTTCCATGCTCTGTTTAAACACTGACAAATGTGAAAATGACAATAATCTTTGGTGCTCAATCCTGTGCACAGCATCCACGATGGAGGGTAGGCCAGTAAAATGCAAGACAAACTCTATTATATTTTATGGCTAATGTAATTCTGTATAAGATGTATATGAACAAAAATGGTCAACAGCAGAATGCTGTTATTGCTAACAGCTGCCACGTTGACTCCCGACTCATGACAACGCCAGGCACAATGGAAACAAATAGTACCTGGTCCTTCACCATCCCCAAGATCAATTAGTTGCAACTCAAAACCTTGTGATCTCTAGGGCTTTCATTGGCTGATTTTTCTGAAATCCATTACCAGGCATTTTCTTCCTAATCTGTTTTCATCTGGAACCTCTGCTGAAAATCCGTTTAGCATCATAACAACAGGCAAGCCTCCAATGACAAATAGATGGTGGCTGCCTACAGGGTGCATTGACCAAGAATCCAACCCAGGTCTCCCGTATGAAGGACCCAGAATAGCCTTCACATCTATCTCCTTCTTACTCATGTTGAACATGCAAAGTTTAGGCTTAAAACTTATCAGCTGGTAAATTTTATATTTATATATTTTAGAGGAAATGGGTAATAAACTAAGTCGTGTAATGGTTACATGTCGGACTGCTTACCTGCAGTTGGAAACTATCAGCCACTCCATGGGAGGAGAATGTGACTCTCTACTCCCCTTAAGAGTTACAGACTCAAAAACTTACAGGGGCAGTTCTATCCTGTTCTATAGAGTCACTATGAGTTGCATTAGACTTGATAACAATGAATTTGGGTGAATTCTGACAGTGAATTCTATTTGTTTGCTTGTTTACATGTAACATAAGAAGCCCCAGTGGTACAGTGGTTACATGCTAGGTTTTTAATCAAAAGGTTGATGGTTCAAGCCCATCAACTGCTCTTCTGGAAAGATGTACAGCATTGGAAACCCTATGGGGCAATTCTACTCTGTCCTATAGGATGTATGAGTTGGAATCAACTCTGTGACAATGAGTTTAATTGAAATGTTACTCCCATTTGCAACTTATAAATTTAATAAGCTTCAACCAATTTCTATTATTATTAAGTTGCTGTTATCGTTAGCAGCACTCAGGTAATACATAGTTAATAAGTAAGAGATTCTCTGGCCCAGCCTGAGTTAGCAATGCCTATGGATGACAGTGATCAGCTCCAGTGCAAGGATTAGAACCTTTCCTCCAGAGAAAATATCAGGGCAGTGTGTTAGACAGGATTCTCTAGAGGTAGAAAGTCTATTCTAATCACACTACTTGACATAACTTTTTAAAACTAAAACTAAAAATTAAAAATCTAACTGCCATCAAGCTGATTCCAACTCACAGTGACCCTATAGGAAAGGGGCAGACATGCCCCTGTCCGTTTTCTGAGATTTTGATTAATTACAGGAATAGAAAGCTTCCTCTTCCTCCCATGAAGCAGCAGATGGTTTTGAACTGCTGACCTTGTAGTTTGCAGCCTAACACATAACCACTACACCACCAGGGCTTTTTAGACATAATCATGAATACCAGGAAGAATTTTGAGCGATCAGATAGAATAAACTAGGCACATTTGGTCAATTTAACTTTTTTAAAGGAACTGGAAACACAGGGAATCCAGGACGGATGATCCCTTCAGGACTAGTGGTGAGAGTGGCCTTACCAGGAGAGTGGAGGGAGGGTGGGGTAGAGAGGGGGGACTGATTACAAGGATCTACATATAACCTCCTCCCTGTGGGATGGACAACAGAAAAGTGGGTGAAGGGAGACGTCAGACAGTGTAAGATATGATGAAATAATAATTTATATATTATCAAGGGTTTATGAGGGAGAAGGGAGTGGGGAGGGAGGGGAAAAAATGAGGAGCTGGTGCCAGGGGCTTATGTGGAGAGCAAATGTTTTGAGAATGATGAGGGTAACGAATATACAAATGTGCTTTACACAATTGATGTATGTATGGATTGTGATAAGAGTTGTATGAGGCCCCAATAAAATGATTTTTTAAAAACCCACAATAATGTTTAAGCAAAATTTTAAAACAATAAAATGAAAACATTTTATAAAGTGAAATTTCCTAGCAATTTACCAGTTAAATTCACCTGTTGTCTTGCTATTACTATGAGCCAGGCACTGTTCTAAGCACTCTACTCATTTTAATTGATTTTGTTTTCACAACATCCGTGTGTAATAGGTATTAATGCTATAATCCTCTCCATTTTATGGATGAGGATGTTAAAGTACAGAGAAGTGCAGGACCTTGTCCAAGGCCACACACCAAGCCACTGGAAGATCTTAGGATCAGAGCTTGGTTAACTGGCTCTAGTGTCTAGCCTTTATTTCACCTCTGAGCTTGTGCTGAAGCTCACTAACCTCCTGAGGTCTGTGTCGACCATCCTCCTTACCAGATCTGACAGCCACATTCAGGTGCAGTGACATCTGCGACCAGGAATAAGGAGGACCAGAGAATAAATGAGACATTTGAATCATGGTGTTGATGAAGAATATTGGATAGCCTATCAGAAGAACAAACAAATATGTATTGGAAGAGGTGCCGCCAGAATGCTCATCTAAGCAAGAATGGCGACACTTTGTCTCATGTCCTTTGGACGTGTGGTCAGGAGGGATCAGTCTCTGGGGAAGGACATCCTGCTTGGTAAAGTAGAGGGGCAGCGAAAAAGAGGAAGATGCTCTAGGTCAAGAGTGTCAAACTCAATTAAAACACGGGCCTTTTGGTGCAACAGGCAAGATTCACGTGGGCCACATCACATTTACAACTTTTGTTAAATTTATATTTTGAAGTGAGGATTCGGGAATATGGCTAGGATAATTAAAACACTAGATAATTGCTTTTATTTAAGCATTTATTTTATTTAACGTATTTATAAAACTAAAATGATTGTTTTTTTACCCAAAATT